AGATAGATAGATAGATAGATAGATAGATAGATAGATAGATAGATAGATAGATAGACAGACAGACAGACAGATAGATAGATATAGAGATATATAAGAGAATTTAGGCAACCCTTGGGCCTGTCACCCTAGAACCAAGAAAGAGCTATATTTTTCTCTAATCATTTGATTAATTATATCCTTCTTATTCCTCCCTTACCTCTGAATGGAATGCTTATCACCCATTCAAATCTGTCTCTTAAGAAAACTGTTGGGAATACCACATTATCTATAGGGTTTCCCTGTACATTTCCAAATTCCAGATGTTTTACAGATTTGAAGAAACAGATGTATGTACGGGCATGCATGTCACAGGCTTACGAGTAAAACAAAGTTCCAATAAGATAGGAAGATGAGGGTGCTATTAAGTCATTCTGAGCACTTGCTATGACAATGCCCAGCAATGCTTTCCCCAAAGTAAAAAATGTTACATAACTTCCATTTTATTTTATTCCATAATCTTAAATGCATGTTAATGACATTATCAGAATGGAAATAGAGAAAACAAAGAATTTGTCAAGCTTTCTTAAATCTAGTTCTATCACAGAAGGCAAGATAGTAACTTGAACCCCAAAGTTCGCCCTTTAAAAAAAGGCAGGTGTGATAATATACCCAGCAACATGAACTGATCATGTCTCATCAGGATAAACTATATATTTAACTGGGTTGCATAATGCAATGTGGACAGTAAACTTTTTTCTGGTTTTCTGGTTATTTTCTTTTCAGAAAATAATGTCATTCATTTCACAATGTAGCACTGGGAGAGCTACAAGCAAGGCTTATTGTTCCTCCCCTGCCCACAAGTATGAATAGCTCAATGGTACTGAGACATTGCCACAACTGCGAAATGTAATAATTGCCAGGCATTGCCCAGACAGGCACAAACTTAGAATGCAGCTCCTATAATCCCTTCAAATGTCACTGCTGAATGTATCAAGTGGGGAACTTATTAAACTTTAGATGGAATAATTGCATAAATTACGTTTAAGACTTTTAATATTAACTTGAGTTACCCACTTTTTGGGGTGAAACTTTTGACATATTACTGAAAAATCAAAGTGTGCACCTTTGATTTAGATGCAATACACTGTCAGTTTGGTATAATGGAAAAGGTGGCTGGCCTAGAAACCAGGAGACTGTGAGTTCTAATACTGCCTTAGGTGTGAAAGCCAGTTAGGTGATTTTGAGCCAGTCACTCACTTTCTGTCCAATCCACTTCAGAGGGTAGTTAATTGTGGACCAAATTGGAGCAAAGGAATATTAATTATGTTCGCTGTCTTGAGTTACTAAGGGAGGGAGGGAGGGAGAAAGGACTTTTCACAATTTCTTTTTTGGGCTCTATCGGAGAAAAATACTTCAACTAAGGGCGAGATATAGATGCTCTGTTGCTGAAGCAGACCTTGTTGTGATCGCTTCCAGTTATTTTGTTCTGGCAGCGTTTACTAATCCATCTTATCCAAGTAATTGCTTAGTTAAGATGTAGGGAAATTTAAACACCATATATGCACACTAATCACATATACCACGTTTCAGCCCTGCTTAATGGAATTTATGATTTGCAAATCCTGAATTGGCAGAATAGTTTATAGTTCCTCACAGTTAATTCGTTACAGACTGTTTTTTTTTTAAGAAGACTTTTTTTAAATGGTTTTTTTTTTTTAATGTAGAGAAGGGGACAGGGCAGGAAAGGTTTAAAAAATAAATAAATAAAAATGCTCACCATAACATAAAAGGCAGTGACCACCTTTAGCGAGGCAGCAAAAATGGAGCTCATTATTTTAACTGACGGCTCATCCAAACTATCGTAAGTTGGAAAGACCTGGCTGCAAGACACAGTCAAACATCGGTTAGGACATGTTGTCAGGAACAGAAATATTCAATCCAGTGTGCAATTGCCACTATAAAGGTAATCCCGCCATCTCCCCACAAGACTCCCGTCATGCTACAGTGGTTTATATTGCCAATGCCAAGAGATTTTAAACATTCCCAAGTGTTACACAAATACGCCTGCTCTCCTCCTCTGTGCCACTGCCACGTGTACAATGTAAATATTTCACATTTCGAAAAAAGAAGGAAGATCGGATGGGGGGTGGGGGTGGAAGTGACGTTGCAACTGGAATGACCACTTGTTTGAGTCAAACAACAGTGGCAGAGCTCCAGACAGCACTCTGGAGATTATTGCTCTTGAAGCATCCTAGGCTGATAATTAAAGCAATACGATGTTTACAGAATAAGAAGCAGGGAAGGAGCGAAAGCATTGGATTGTCAAAGAGAAAAGTTAAACAACCAAAACTAAACACTGTGCCTGTCATATTTCAGCGCAAATGCTTGAGCCCAAGCTCCCAGAAAACTGAAGGAGCCAATTACACGGGGTTTGGGCGCTTATATAAGCTTGTTCCCAACATCAGGTATATAATTTACTACAGCAGCTGGAGGTTGCATAGATATAATTCGGATGCTGGCAAGGTTTGAATGGTTGGGGGCAAGCAAAAACAAAACATAACCCCCCCAAAATATATATCCAGTAATGCCTGAGTATCATCCCTGGAAGGGGTGTGGCTAAAATTGTTTTGGCCATTTTTGGCTTTGTGGGAAGGTTAAGGATAGCAATGGGAGGGGAAGTTTCCCAGAAGCAAACTACTCCCAGACTGACTCGTAAAACATCAAATCCCCCCAAATAAACATGTTCCAGAGTTTTGGGTTTTTTTTAGAGGATTTTAGATGTGGCAGTGGAAACAGGAGCCTATGAAACATAAACCGTTCTTATTCCCATCTTTAAAATTACCGTAGATCAGAATTATGAACTGGGTGGTAGGGGATATAATTTAAAATCTGACTGATAGACCTCTCTTTCCAATCATTCCCCTATAAAAGGCAATATGAACCGTTAGCCAGTTTGGGCTAGTAGTTAGGTGACACCGGGCTAGAAAGACCAGGCTAGAAAGTGGGAGACTGTGAGTTCAAGCCCCACCTTAGCCAGAAAAGGCAAAGCTGGGTGACCTTGGGCCGGTCACTCTCTCTCAGCCCAACTCACCTCACAGGTCTGTGGTGGAGAAAATAGGAGGAGGAACTTATGTTTGGATATGGGCTCCAAGATGCCACCTTGACTTATTTGTAAATAAAAAGTGTGTGTGTGTAAATAAAATCAATCCAGCTGGGTTGCTCTTAACAATCCTATTAGGACTTCAGGAAATATAAACAGGACAAAACCTTGTATCTTTCTGCCGCAAGCCCAGAATTATAGAGCAAACTACACACTAATCCTGAAACACAGCCTGCACCCAGGCAGCTTTGCACGTGGGGAAGGTGTTAATGAAAAATTCCCTTTTTAAACCTATGAACCGAATCAGATATCTAACATATAAAAAATATTAATAGCAAGCATTGTCCCCTGATTAAGAGAAGGTTGGTTTTTTAATTCTTGCATTTTCTTGATTAAAACCATCCCCATCTTTATGATGGATGCCAAATTTATTTTTAATAAGGAGAACCACTTCAGAGAATGGGGAACTGGAAAAACGAGCCCCTCTTCTTTAGCTCTTTAGTGCCTACCTCACTTCTTTTTTTAAAAAAGTAAAACATTAATGTTAATGAATCTCCTTGTTCGTTCATTCTGAGGCTGGACAAGTAGTATGAAAGTATTATGTGAAATTCTGGAGATGCAATAAAAGATGAAAATATAATTTTCCTCAAAACACTGGCAAAAGACTTCTGACTGTCTAATCCCAAAGAACAAACCATAAAATTATTGTTGCCACCATATTCTCCTTGTGAACTTCCCCATGGCATTTGCCTAGATGCTGTTGGGAGACAGACAGCTGGATTAGAAGAGCTTTTGGTCTGATCTAACAAGGAAACTTTTCATTTTTTAAAAAGATGCCAGTTCAAAGAGACAGAAGATCAGAAGTCCTTCACCACCCCTGCTTTGTATAAACAAGCCCCAAAACATTTTGGTGTTCCAGACACAGAAGTAAGAGAGACCCTCAAACCCATCAGATGTTCAAGTCAAACCTTCTCTGCCAATAAGACTCCAAAATGCACAACAAGCAGTACATCTTGCTGTGCACAGATTTTATTTTTAAGCTGAAATGTCCACCCAGAAGGCCAGGTCAAGATCAAGGTATCTGGGAGCAGAAACCTTTGTCTGATAAACATTTCCTTAAGCTACAGGGATTCTTCACCACACTTGTAATCACAGAACGCTGCCCTCAGGGTGAACTGAAGAAGAGTATTTAGTCCAAATGCCTTTACATGTATCTCTCTATTTCCAAGATGAGCACAAGGAGAAAAACAGCACAAGCAAGCTTTAGAGCCTGAAATAGTTTTTGCTGAAGGGGGGGGGAAGAGTTCTTTTTGTGTGTGTCTGTGACCGCGTTTCCAAAAACATAAACATCCCTTGCCTGTAGAACTTTGAAAAGGTAAAATTGCAGGGTTTTTAAAGATTTTTCTGGGCGGGAGAATGCTGCTCAGAAAAAAGTCCTAATTCGGCAAAATGCAGAAGTCTCCGGACAAGAATAGTTAGAATATTTGATCAGGGTTAGGTAGCATCTTGCTTCATCTGACATTGGCTTACTCCTCCAGCATTACAATTCAATTGTAAAGGGGAATGTGTCCCTTGTGATTCCCTGAGAGAAGTCCATGTATTTATGTAATACAATATCTAAGGCTGCCTACCAGCCAATGACTCTGAGTGTAGCTACTGTGCTATGAAAGAAGATGTGAGGGATTGATTTTTTTTTCAAATCTTAGGGAAAAAAACTGCTCCCTCCCCCTGAATGATGCAAATGGCAAACATTTTCTCTACCAAATTTTGTTCTTTCCATTTTTTTAATCGCTACACCACATCTACTACACCATTGCTCTTTACCTCTATCTATGTCTCTCTTTCTCTCAATTTCTACATTTACTGTATGTAAGTAAAAGAACATATACGCAATGAAGGAAAAAACAGATTTAGAAAGCAAATTGAAAGGCACTTCTCCTACTGTTTTAAAGATCCTTGATTAACGGAGAAATTGGACCAAACAGTCATAAAGGTGGGTAGCCACATGTAAAACTGAGGCAGAGCATAAAGAGAGACTTCATTCCCAGTTCTTCAAACTGTCATTCTTATTGAACTAGCAACGACACTGAAGTAAGAATGGTGCCCGTCATTCCAGTTGGTACATGTCTATACTGCTGACTGAAATGTCTGATTCAAAGCTTACACCGGTATAGCTCATATTACAAAAGAGTTAAGGACAGGGACACTATCCTGAGGTCGGACAGGAAGGCTGCAGCAGAGCTAATGTAATATTTCTAGGCTTCCTGGCTTCCAGCCTCATGTGCAGTCTGTTAAACCATATGTTGCACACACGAGGGGTGGAGGGGCGCGGAGGCATTTCTCTTTGAATTTGGCAATGACAACAAACCTTATTGCCAGAGACAGCCAACTCTACAAGCAAAGCATACTTGTGCATTCAGAAGCCATAGCAAGTGGCCAATCGATAATGCATGTTACTTCTTTGCTTCTATCTAACACTTCTTAAAGTTTGGGGGTAAATCGACTGAAAGGTCAGTTATTACAAGCCTGGCAACCCCGGATCCATCCGTATGTGACGTCACACAGGCGAAGAAACGTGTGTTATTCTTGCCCTTGGGAAAATGGATAGGATTTAACTTTCAGTTTGGCTTGCCACACCAGTGGTGTAGTAATCTATATTTAGAGAGATATGTGAATATACTAGTCTGGAACATATAATTTTGCTGTGTTTCCAACTCCCACCAAATGAAGGTTGGTTTCTGAATGGCCGCCACAAGAAAAAGGACAAATTTGGATTTTATAAACCCCCGCTGTGGTAACTAGGTAGCTATAAAAGAATGAATCAACCCTTCTGTCACCAATTATAGCAGAGACACTTAAAACTGAGTGAAGCACATTAAATCTGAGAAGCATAATTGGGGGAGTGGGCAGAGGGGGAGAAGGAGAGCCCAGCTGTATCAAAGCTAATGCTAACGGTCCGTTTTGGGTCCTCAGCTGAACACACACACATGCTTCTATGGTTTCACTGGGCCACTTTTCAGTCCAGCCACAAATGAAAGGGTGGTAGAAGTATTGCTACTAGAATGGAAATGGGAATTATCTATGGATGAAAGCTTACATCTGCCACAAGAACGAGTATGACAACTAAGGGCAGGCATGTGTTTTACCAAAAAAAAAAATAATCTTTTTAAGTTCTTCATCCAAAATAAATGATGCCAGCATGCAGCATAGATTTCCATTATTTCTTTTTTATTGACAGACTCTGAGGGATTGGAGGGCGGGGTGGGGGCGGGGAGAAGAACGGCGGAGAGAGAAAATGGAAGGGAGGGGGCGGTGAAGAACACAACAGACGAAAGCATTAAGGTGCAAAAATATCATTTCTAATGTTGGGGTTTCTGAATGGGAAGATGCCAGGAACTTTTACATTTCTACCCCTCTAGTCTGAAACTGGGAAGTTTTAAAAATTGTGTGTTTCTGTATGGGTGTGTGTGTATGAGAACTGAAAAGAGTTGAACCCAGTTCTGGAACAGGCTTTTCATTGTGCAATGCACAAAAAGAAACCCTGGAGCCAACCCCTGTCCTACATCTATAAGAGTAAATGGGACTTTATGATCCAGAAGGTGAAACTGACTTACGAACAGTTGCCTTTTTTTTAAATAGTCTCTGTGAAAACATTATGTTGCTTCACAAAAATCATTTTAAGCCAACATAGCCCACTATGGTAATAACTTAAGTTCTTCTTACACCTCAAGAACAGGGCTCAATACTGTCCCAAGTACTAGAATTAAAGCCAATGGAAAATTACACCGGAGATGTATTTGCCTCCTACGAAGAAGAAGCTTTTTAAGTACAATGAGTCCAGAGTGAAATATAACTCCCTCTCCCAGCTAGGTAACAAAAGGGTCACAACCCAGTCAGATGCTATACCTCAGTGGGCTGTAAAATATTTTGATTAAAATCAAGACAAGGGGACCAGATGGTATCTATCCCATACAGACCATCCTGACCCTTTGCCCTTAACAAAACTCATTCCACCCCACAATCTCCAAGCAGCCAGGACTGCTGATACTTACGACTGACAGGCAAACGACATGCCAAAGATAGGAATGCAGCGAAAAATGCCCTCCCAGCGTGCATAACTGACCCGCTGCAGCCACTGCCCGTCAAAGAGGCCATGTTTGAAAGCAGAGAGCACGATCTGTAGCCAAGGAAAAGAAAAGAGAAGTTACAATCTAGGCAACAGAGACACCATGCCAACCCTGTGATTGACAATCCAGGTTGCATCAGCTTTATCAGCAACTGGGAAACAGCAAAGAGGCAGCGGAAGCTCCCAGGCAGAGATTTCACCAAGCCACATTTCCTGGGTCTGCATCCCCAGTGCACAAGATGTATGGGAAATGTGGGGTTTTGGGGTCCTGGGTAAATTACAGCAATCTGCATCACAAGGAAGGGGTGGGTCAAGAATTGCTTATCCTCCAACTGAACGTTCTCAACTGGATGCTTGATAAAATATGCAAATCCCTATCCTGGCATTCAATCCCTTCCATTTCTAGCAATAAATCCTTTCAACATCTTTGTACATTTCCATCTCCTAACCAAACACCCTTTTTCCATAAGGCTTTCTGTATTCTAGCTTTTTGAAATAATGAGCTCTCCCAACTCTAGCAGCCAACAGCCTCCCAAATACACTATGTGTTCTAAGCCCCCAGCACGAGTTTTTGCAATGAAGGAACTGTACTACACACTACTCTTCCTCTAGATGCCTGATGCCTCCTTCTCTCTCGTAAATCTGCTACTTCCAGCAAGGCTGTTATAGTATATGCCCTAATTTGAATGGCTGACTCCAAATGCAGCTGTTGTATAGAAGAAAATTATTTTTTATGTTGATCTCTCTCTCTCTCTCTCCCTCCTTTCCTTTTCTTTCTTCCTTCCCTGGCCTCCCATCCCCATCTTAGAATAAGCTGCCTGGTGGGAGGAACCAATATTCTTTATTTGGGGGGGGGAGGGGGAATATATAACTCTTTAATACCCAACTGAGCAACTGAGAAACACATAAGTTTGTACATAACAAAAAAATATCGCGTTTTGTTATGAGGTTTGTTACAAGGCACCATTTTTTTATTTGGCCTGCTATTGAGGTAATCCGATATCATTACATGGTGGGTGATGGTGGTGGTAATAGAAACCACAATGTGTGTGTCATGGCACAAATAATTTGACTAACATACCTGCATAAGATGTCCGCCTGTAGTACAGAACTGTATCAGTTGGATGCCAATATCATAATACCTGGGTCATTATTTTGATATCATTGTAGCTTGTTAGGGATGCCTGTCTTCTGCTTCTAAACTGTAGTTTAAGAAAACATGGCTCTATCTCCCATACCAGCTTGGCTGATATACCAGCTGCACAAGTATTTACACAGGGAACCATGAAGATGGCTATTATGTGGCTTAGGGAATGCCTGCCAAAGGTCCCCTCCTATCAGAGGGTATAGGGAGGGAGAGAGAGACTCAAAACTGGGGAAGTTCCCCTCCTGTGAACAGTGAGCCACTCTCAGAGCCTTCAGGACATTTCTAAAGAAGCCCCTGAGTTTTAATTGATGAAAACAATTGGTGTAATATATGTATATGTAAAATCATTTCATATAATCAAACACAACTTTGGTACAATTATAGTCTACTGCAAGAATGTCAAATTCAAGGCCCAGGGCCAAATCCGGACCATGGGTCTCCACAGGCACTCCCAACACAAGTGACACCAAGCTGGCCATGCCCCCAGCCACGTCCCCTGGCCCATCTGAGGTCAAACACAACCCTGATGCGGCCCTCAATAAAATTGAGCTTGATACCCCCGGTCTACTGTATGTGTTTATTCTAGTACTGAGGCTCAGCTGTCACTTTTTGCCCACCACTTAAGAGTCTTTTAAGCCTTTTAAAGTCTAGTCTTTAAGCCTGAGGCCATTTAAAATGTTCATAAATAAATAAATGGCATCCCAAACAAAGATGAAAATGGCCGGAGAGACAAGATAAAGCAAGGAATACCTAGGAACAACATTAGAGGTGAGAAGTTAAAAGAAACTGAGGAAGGAGCCCTACTGCAGGGGAATTTGTTAGCAGCCTCTCTGGCAAAACCTCAGTGAGAAAGCTTTGAAGGAAGCATTTGATTAAACACTGTAGAACAGAAAGTGAAGGAAGCATTAAGGGGTTCCTCTGACAATCTGGGTGGCCTAAGTTCCTATTATATACGCTACTATAAAAATGCTGACTCGCTGGAAGATGAGGACATGGCAGAATCTCCCTGAAAAAATGTATAACTTTGAGCAGCATATGGGAGTCACATTCCTGGGCCTGTGGTTTGCACAGAAGAGCAAACAGCATCCCTGTTACTGGTAGTGGTCTTCCCTTACTAAGTAGTGCCAATGATTAGGAAAGTTTTTCAAGCTAAACCCTAAAAGTATGTGTTGTTGCTAACAAGCAGACCAGGCCTCCTGTTAAAGGTCCTCGGAGAGCCCACCCACGTGAAAAGTTTGGGTATCCTGGAATTTAAATATGCATTGTGGTTTCCCTCAAAGGAATTGAAAAAAACAAAAGCTTCCCTTCATTAATACTGACCACAAACATAAACACTGTATAGAAAATCAGAGCCATTGCACTGAAGGACTGTATGGAAGCCATCATGTTTCTCTGGAGACTCAGCGGGAGCACAATGCAGAGAGAGATGAAAAAAAGCATGAGGATCCGGAATAAGCCGCTCACCTGAAAGATGAACAGGAGGAACTGTTACATCGGCCTTCTCCAATCAGAAGCCATTCACATGAGTTGCACTTTGACTACCACACATCAAGAAAAGGGAGTTACACAGGGAGCACTCCCAGGAAGAAAGCACATTCAAAATTAACATTCTAAGCCCATCCACTCTGCTGTAGACTGAGGTTAAGACTCACTCTGAAAACAAATAAAAGGAGGGATGGAAAAAACTGGAATGTCAAGAAAGCTGCTTCTCACAGAGCGTCTGTGATGAGACCACACAGACACTGGGTGCCACTGTTGCTCTATGAAGTACTTATCAAAACCATTTTACAGCAAAGGCTCGCTGCCTGCTTTAAATGGTAATCCAAACACAACATTATTTGAATATCTTTTATGTACTTCCAGCAAATAAAACAAAAACTAACTTTGCTGAAAAAAGGGAAATGATGGGAGCCTTGGAAATTCTGACCCAGAAAATTAACCAGCAGCTTTTTATATTTATTATAGCAGGAAGCTTGGAAATGTCTCAAAATATTTAATACCTAATTTGGCTTTGCTTATGATGCATTTTTTTAGCTGCTTAGGTCCTTAATCAGAGCTTAACTACATCAGGCCGGAGCAGATAAAAACCATGCCTGAATGCTACTGAATGTCCATTGTAGCTTTCCTGGCTTGTCTCTGCTCCTACGGGGACTTCTTTGATTCCCTATTTATCCATTGGGAATTAAACTGCTCCTGCCTGGAAAAAGGCAAACAAGCAGATATGCTATCAACACTGAACTTTCTTGACCTGGCTTGCCAGGTTAGTCACCATTGCGTTGTATATTCCTACTTGGCAGTTTGAGATTAACAAGTGAGCTGATAGATCCTAAGGTATAAAATCTACAAAACCCTATTCATTTACCCAATTTTGTCCCCAGAGTATTTGATACTACAAACTTTAGTATCTCAAACTGGAAGTTCCCTGTTGATTGCTTCAGTCTAATAGGTCCAGTTCTGCCTTGCCTTGTCTCACACCTACATCAAGTTAAAAATATAATAAATCTTAGGACAGGTGTGAGATGCTTCCATAATTGGGAAGGGTTGGTAGGTGAGAGCAGACACATAAATGTAACATAAATGTAAACTAAAAGCAGAGGCAATCTTGCTGATAAATTATGAGAAATATACAATAGAGTTAAGCAAATTTATGTTTTGCAGAAGCTACTTTATTTTTATTAAACAATTATAATACTGGAATTTAAAATCAGTTTTAAATACCATGTCTGGATAATCTCATTTCTGCTACAAATAAAAGCATCCTAAACTTCTGGGAATTCTTAATTCACCAGCATAATTTAATGTGCGAGGGCTACTAGTCACATTAATACTGCCATTTTTAAACATTTGAACTCATTGCTAACATACTGTAAGTCAGTATGATTTACACACATGATTCTAGTCTATCTTCCGTCTCACCTTGATGAATAGGAAATACAACCTTTTGGGAAGGAAGAAAAGAAGGGGGGGGAGGGAAGGAGGGAGGAAGGAATGTGTGTGTGTGAGAGAGAGGGGGGGGAGGGAGGGGGGAGGGAGGGAGAACTTAGGAATGACTCTCCATCACCAAATACACTTAATTTGTCTTAAATCAGGTTTTTGTGGGTAGGCTGATCTGCAGTTTGTGTACTGGCTATTAATTTTGAAAATGGTAAGCTACTTGCTGCAACACCATTCAGACAAGCTTTCAAATATGCTCTATGTCAGGGGTCCCCAACCACCGGTCCCTGGACCGGTACCGGTCCGTGAAACAATTTCTACCGGGCCGCCGGTTTGCTGGGCACCACCATCTTGTTTTGATGAAAAAGTGCTTCCGGTGAGCTTTTCCGGGTAGAAAGCGGCGTTTGGGTGCTGAAAGAATCCTCGCACCTTAGTTTCATCAGGGGGGGGGGGCGGCGGCTTCGAACAAAACGAAGGCGCGAGGATTCTTTCAGCACGCATGGCAAGGCGAGCCGAGCGACCGTCCCGAAGCTGTTGCGAAGCCCATCGATACAGGTACAAAGGAGGAGTTGAAGGTGGCGGGGAGAACCGGGGGACGGCTGGCTAGCTGGTCGCTCGGCTCACCTTGGCATGCGTGCTGATGCCGGTACCGGGCCGCGGATGATTTTGTGATGCTGGTACCGGGCCGCGGCACAAAAAAGGTTGGGGGCCACTGCTCTATGTTATCAATAATAGAGAATATTTGTAGCTCAGGGTTGGACTGTGGAGTCCCCGATAGTCTCTGAGATTGATTGTTTTCTTGCAGATATTTCATTACCCAACTAGGTAACATCTTCAGTGCTAGCAGTGAAATCAGGATTTCATGTGTCCTACGTTATCCTATGTATAGATATGAAAGAGGCACTTATCTAATTTGCTATTGATAAGGTCATTAATAAAGCAACTTTACCTGGAGTCCAAGTGATCGAGCAAAGAAGTTTGATCCTAAGTCTCCAATAACAACATAGAAAGCTATGCAGGTCCCCAGCATCAGTCCAATCATACTGTAAAAACAAAATGGACTGGTCATTCTAGAAAAATGCGAAATAAAACTGTTATCATTTACCTGTGTTCTAAGTGCTGAATTCAAGTGGGAGCTATGTTCAGAAATTCTCTGAAGATAGCCATCTTGACTGCCAATGCCCTAGAATCATGACAACAGTCTTAATTTCATTCTCATGTGGCACATTTTAATGAGGTAGCCTAAATCTATTTCACTTCTCTGCAGATATGGGGATAGATTGTTATATCCATATAAAACAGAAAAAGTACCGATAAACATGTCTATGGAGATTCCCAGTCATCCAGGTTATGGTTGACTCTAAGGTGCTTTTTCAAGAGGCAACTGGACTTTCTGGTTTTTCTTTGAAGACATTTCACTTCTCATCCAAGAAGAGCTGAAGAAGCATCTTGCATGACAAGCGAAACGTCTTCAATGAAAAACTAGAAAGTCCAGTTGGCTCTTGAAAAAGCACCTTTGATACAGATAAACATTTTAAATGATTTCCCTAGCCACCAAAGTAATGCTATTTTTAATGCATGTTTGTTTTAACTTTCCATTTCTGTTTATACTTTATACTTCTTTGGCTATATTATACACTTCCAGAGTAATAAGCAAATTGAGTATTCCTTCCTTCCTTCCTTCCTTCCTTCCTTCCTTCCTTCCTTCCTTC